GACCGAAACATTTCTTGTGGACTCCTTCAGCTCAAGCTGCTTTTGACAACTTAAAGATAGCCATGACAACAACTCCGGTTCTTGCCCTGCCAGACTTCCAGGAAACCTTCACTGTCGAGACTGATGCATGTCAAGATGGCACAGGTGCAGTGTTGATGCAAAAAGGTCAGCCCATAGCCTTTCTCAGCAAAGCTCTTGGGGAGAAACACAAAACACTGTCCATCTATGAAAAGGAATTCTTAGCATTGATCATGGCAGTTGAAAGATGGAGGCATTATCTACAACGAAACGAATTTATCATCCAAACTGATCATAAGTCTCTGGCATATCTCAATGAACAGAACTTGCATTCAGACATGCAGAGAAAGGCAATGGCCAGACTTATGGGGTTGCACTTTAAAATCATATATAGGAAGGGGAAGGAGAATGTAGCAGCAAATGCTTTATCGGGGGTAGGTCACATGATGGCTGTCCAGGCAGTTTCTTGTGTTCAACCTACTTGGATACAAGAGGTACTCAACTCTTACACAACGGACTCTCAAGCACAGCAAATCTTGCAGAGGCTGTCTATTGTCAGTCTAGATCCACAAGGATATAGTCTCCACCAAGGTCTTATATGGCACCACGGCAAGATTTGGATTGGGTAGAATTCTGCTTTGCAAACCAAAATCATTGCTGCCTGCCACTCTAGTGCTCTGGGAGGTCATTCTGGCATTGCAGCCACCTATTCCAAAATGAAGAAACACTTTGCCTGGAAAGGGATGAAAATGGATGTGGAAAATTTTGTTAAACAGTGCAGTATCTGTCAGCATGCCAAACATTCTCTTCAACATCCAATGGGTCTTCTGCAACCACTGCCAATACCAGCAGGAGTATATCAAGATCTCACTATGGATTTCATTGAGGGCCTTCCCAAGTCCGAAGGATATAGTGTGATTTTGGTAGTGGTGGACAGGTTGACTAAGTATGCTCACTTCTTACCCATCAGACATCCTTATACTGCTCTAATGGTTGCTCAAACCTTCCTAGATACTGTGGTTAAGCTACATGGACTGCCAGCTTCTATTGTCACAGATCGAGATACTATTTTTGTCAGTCATTTCTGGAAGGAACTGTTCAAGTTGTATAGAGTGAATCTGCAGTTAAGCACTGCTTAGCATCCTCAAACCGATGGACAGTCAGAGAGAGTGAATCAGTGCTTGGAGATGTATCTCAGGTGTGCTGTCCACAATTCACCTAAGTCTTGGAAATCATGGTTACCATTAGCTGAACCATGGTATAATTCTTCTACACACACTGCTCTCGGTTGCTCTCCATTCAAGGCATTATATGGTTATGAGCCTAACTTGGGTGCCATACCATCTATACCATCAGAAACATCTCCTTCAGTAGCAGAAGTCATTGAGCACCGAGAACAACACCTGCAATCCCTAAAGCACAATCTGGCAAGAGCACAAAACCGAATGAAGCTCTTAGCCGACAAGAAACGTAAGGATTTCACTTTCTCTGTGGGAGATCAAGTATTGCTCAAACTTCAACCTTATACTCAATCAAGCTGTGTGGCAGGCCTTACCCCAAGTTGGCTTTTTGAGTACTTTGGCCCTTACACAGTACTCGAAAGAGTGGGATCAATGGCTTATCGTTTGCAGCTACCTGAAGACTCTCCGATTCACCCCATCTTTCACATTTTCCAGTTAAAACCCTTCTCTGCAGATTATACTCCGGTGTATGATTCGTTACCAGTCATCACTGATCTGGAGGCCGCTGACACGGTGCCAGAAGCAATCATTGACCGTCGCCTTGTCAAGAAGGGCAACACTGCTATACCACTGGTGAAACTGACATGGGTGGGAGTACCAACCAGTGCAACAACATGGGAAGACTACAATGTTGTTAAGCAATGTTTCCCTAATGCACCAGCTCGGGGGCAAGCTAGAACTCAGGCGACGGGAGGTGTCACACCATTTGGTGTGGCCCACGACCAAATGAAGAACGCTGAAGGAAGAAGCCTTTAGGAGAAGACGATTCCGTGTGGCTTAGCGTATTTATGTATTACGTTTTCTTTTCATGAACTGTCGTGTGGGACCAAGTGGTCATAGATCGTATCAAGCACATAGGTGCTTGAACCACGCATCGGGGAGGGACGTCGTGAACTCTAATATCGTAAAGCTAAGGCGAGGGGTTAACCCTGCCCGCTTCTTCAGATATCTGTGTATCCGTCTCGATCGCTCACGTCGACGGCGACTACTTCGCGCCAATGCCAGGGGTGTGACAATTGGTGGCGGCATGTCCGTCCGCGGGCATGGGAGAGGCCAAGAGTGTGCAACAGAGTGGAGAGTGGGGACTAGGCAGTGACCTCCAAACCCTAGCCGAATGCATAAGGTTGGGCTGTCTCGAGCTTTTGGAGACTCTGGAGTGTTGGGCCATATCCAGCTCCAGCAAGGACGAAATTCTTAACGAGCTGCGGACTGAGCTTGGCTCATAACGTTTCTTGAACGAGCCGAGCCGAGCTGAGTCGAGCTGGACACGAGCCGAGCCAGCTCACAAGCTTCGAGTTCTGCATCTAGCCCTAACCAATATATATGTTGATCCTTAAAATTGGTGTGGAGCACTCGGAGATTGGCATCGTGCTATAGGATAATCTATACAAAAAACAAAATTGTGAATTATATTTAGGCTACTTGTGGAGGAACCTGTCCACCCTTATTATAGTCCCAGACTTGTCATGCTCGGCAAATATTCTTTCAGCGATAGGCGACGTGCTCATCGTGCAACTATATATAGTGATTTCGTTAATCTCGAGATCGATCAAGCTGGCTCAATCCATTGGAAGCGTTCATAGTCGCTATTGTAATGTTCTTTCAGTATGCTGCTTGAACCAAATGCAAGCCCGGGTGATCGCTACGAACAAAAGTACGAAGATAAAGAAAATTACATGGCTGCCTGGCCTTTTGGTGCATGCCAAATAACCGGGCATGCAGCAGCTTGGTGAGGTACTCATCCCTGCAGTTCCAGAATCATGCATGGCCTCCTCATGTTCTTACTCTCATTTTCCAGCCTTGCCGTATCTTCTGGCCAAGTTAAGCAGAGCATGCATGCAAGCTCTTTTTTATCTCTAATAATAGCAGAGGTGGGTAATTTTCTTGAAAATAAAATAGATCTAATGGTTATATATCGTGAGAGCCTATAGCTTTAGTGGCTAGATGTTTCTGATTAATGTGAGAATTTATAGCATTTATCCTTTTTCCTAGCGCATCTGGTGAGAGTTAACATGGAGACTCCGTTGGGGCCTCCAATTAGTAATATAAATGGATTTTTTTTCCTTTTTATCTATAATAATGGCAGAGGTGGGTAATTTTCTTAGATCTAATGATTACAAATTGTGAGAGCCTATAGATTTAATGGCAAGATATTTCCGACTAATATGAGAATTTATAGCATTTATCTTTTTTCTTAGCGCGTCTGGTGAGAATTAACGTGGAGACTTCGTTGGAGCCTCTAATTAGTAATAGTAAGATATAGAAGTAAGTTGTAGTTTTTTTCATAGTTACAGGGTGGTAATTTAGATACAAATTGGTTTTTTTTATAATGACACATATGGGTATTTATATATGCATTTAGGGTGGTATTTTTCGTCTTGCTTGACTAATTTTCAGTCACTGGGTACAACACCACATGGTTAAAAAGTGGGCAGCTAATGTTTAGTTGGATATATAGCCAGGGGCTAAACTTTAGTTGGATCCACCACATGGTTCTGTTGCAGCATTTTATTTTGGGCGAGGATCAGTACGCGACGATCAAATGGCGAATGAGTTGTGCAGCAGCACTTGCAGTTTGGAAGGATATAGATGATGCGCTTTTTCCCTGCGTCGTTCCAGATTGCTAGGCCAGTGACTGAAAACAAAAGGCGGTATAGTAGTAGGATAGAAAGGGTACGGTGAGAGCAGCAAGGCGCACAACTCAACCAACTCCAGTACAAAATGAGATAAGGCCTATCAATCTCAATGCCACAGAAGACAAAGAGCACTACTGGTTCTGCTTGTTGTTTGCTGGTGACAATAAATCAAGCAAGCTGTCACGCACAAAACTCGATCGAGAAGCCAATGAAGTATACTTGTGCTCGAGACTTTCTCAGCTTTCCTTTTCTACAGTTTGTCGTTTCTATGCATGTCATTTCTCTTCAGCATTTTGTCGGGATCGGAGAAGTCTGAAATGTGCAGTGCAGGCCAAAAGTAAGGACAAAGGGGCCGACAAGGCCTGGGGTGACCCACGCGTCGTCGATTGGTGGTGCCCCAAGACGAATCGCCTCTGCGTGCGCGACCTCAGCTTGGTTTGAAGACGCTGCCGCACCTCCTCCTCCTCCTCCTCCTCCTCCGTCACAGAAATTCTCCTCTCTCTCGGCAGCCACCACAGGCAAGGTGACGGAGCTTCGGGCGTATCCGATCGACCCGCATGGCGGACAAGGAGGCAAGAGGAGAGTACCCACCAGCCAATGATATGAATCCTGACGATTGCTCGTTTTGTGTCCTGTCCTTGCTGTTAGTCTTGCAGTTTTAATTTGCTTGCGTGATGGGTCTTGTTGATTTCTCTCTGCTCGGAAGAAAAGAAATGTTCGGTCCTGTTACTACCACCGCCGTAAGATAAGGAACACGTGCAGCCCTAGGGATTTCTTCTTCTTCTTCTTCTTTTGTTATCACTTCCTTTCTCTTGTTGGGAGCAGCAGAGTCGGCTTTTACCTCGGCCACTAGTTCAAAACAGAGTTGAGAGGCCAACATAACTGGTCTTCGTCTCCTGATTTGAGAAGACATGCCCCTTTACAACATGTGTTAGACCGTCCGTCTCCAATGGTTGGAACGACCTGCTAGATTTAAGGTCTATGTGTTGTATCGACCTTCACAAGAACTATCGTAAAACATCACTTCCCCCGTGGCCTAGCTTACTTCCAATAGCACTGCGTTTACAACCATCTATTTAATCCTTGTATCGCATCGCAGATCACCATGGTCGTCAAGGTTGACCTTGAATGCGAGAGATGCAACAAGAAGATCAGAAGGTCCTCCACAAGGTCAAAGGTACAGTATTGTAGTATAACCCTCGTCACCATATATTCAGTCATTCACCAATGCAAACGCCTCTATCTGCAGTCTGATAATTCCAATCTGCCATCACATGGCTGCATGAGCACCAATCACCTCTCCACTTGTTGGGCTTAATTACCTGTCAGTCGCTTTTACAACTGTTTAACAGTTCGATCTGTGCTGATGATCATTGTTGATTGTGATTGACTGGGCTGCGCAGACAAGATGAACATCAATACTATCTCCTTTGATGAAAAGAGGAATCTCGTGACCATCTCTGGCCCGTTCGACGCCGAGAAGGTCCGTCGGAAGCTCTGCTGCGAGGCTGGCCGGATCATCAAGGGTATGGACGTCAAAGCGCCCGAGGAGACGAAGGACGGAGGCATGGAAAAGGAGGAGCACGGAAGAAAGACGGCTGCGGCGCCCGCGGTCAACCTCCGGCCGCTGCTGGAGAAGATGTTGGAGCGCCCCAAGGCCAGGACCCAGCCGGCCCCTGCACCGGCTGCTGCGGCAAGCAGACCACGCAGCCGCCAGCAGCGCAGGTCGTCGTGCCCGCGCCGGCCAGCTCCGTCTCTGGCCATGGCTAAGGCGCCGTCGTTGTACTACGGCGTACGTGCCGGTGTACAGCATCGAGGGGTGGTAATAATGAGGCGGCGACGGGCGGCTGCCGCGCTACCACCACCAGCAGCAGCAGCGGTGCTGCGAGGAGGACCCCCGACGGCGATGGCCATGGGCCATGGACAGTGACACTACCATGGCCAGTGCTGAATGGAAAGAAAAAAAAAGAGGGATCAGAAACTCTTATTTAATTATGTGTTGTCGCGTGTGGTTGTTTATGCATGCATGTCTGCGGTTTTTAATTTGCTTGTGCCTTATCCCACAGTGCAAGCCAGTTATTAGCTCTGGATGACCTCATATTTTATTTTATTTTATCCCTTGACGCCTTCTTCTGATCAAGACCGCCTGTAATCTCCTGCTCCTGGCCATGCCGGTACATATGTGTCTGAAAGATGCTGTTTGCTGCAGTAAAATGCTGGGTCCATCTTAATCTTCTGATTCTGGATCGAGCTCATGTGTTGATTGTTACTACCACCGCCTGTAATCTGTTGCTTAGGTTGTTCATCAACCATGCATGCCGACTTTCAGATCGAAGTGAGCGAGCCTCGTTAGTTAGCATGCTCCGATGGTGACCGTTGTGGCTTCATTCAAGAGCTGCCTGTCCTCGACGACAATGTTTGTATGCATGCATGGTTGGTGGCACGTAGCTGTACAACATATTGGCGTGATTGATCGAGCTAGATTTTATTGTACTACTAAGTAGCACCAACCATGGAATTGATTGCGCACGCACCAAGTAAGACCAAACTGACATAAATATATGTCGTCACAAGCAAACCGGTTGGGCAACGTGAGATTGTTAGATGGTGAGATTCTGCGCGCCACAGGAATAATTCATCGAAGCTCCATCTATGTATAATAAGAGGACCTTCCACAACCACAAGTAAGCTGTAGGGTGTGCTTCTGAATATATTCAGCCCTGCTAGCTGTCTCTGGTTTCCAATTATTGCTCCTATGTTTTTTTTTTGGATAAAGAAAGGTTTATTGATTTTCAGGAGCATATACACTTGCCGCCACCCACGTGCTTTGTGTACAAAGGAGAAGGTGGAGGAGGCCGTCCGTGCCAGGATGTGGTACTGATACTTTTTTTTTTCTTTTTGAAAAGGCGGCAAGAGTTTTGCCGTGTAAAATATGATTAGGAGGAGAGAAACAAGAAAACAGGACAGGGAGGGAAGCTCCCGCAACTTGCTAAAAACACCTCTCCGCCTAATCATATTTTCACGGCAAGGGCCAACTCCTATAGTACCTGCTGCTTTTCATTCCCGCAGATTATGCCTCTGCAGCGCCATCACGGTGGTGATGTCTCTAGCCGTGCCGGCTCTCCTCTCATGGCCGGGCTCGAATCAGATTGGGAATCAGAAAGGCTGATGAGCAGGCAGAGGAACGCAAGGATGGAGTCGCAAGAGATGGGACAAGAGCCTCCGCCAGCTCCATTCCTACCCGTGCCGGAGCAAGCAGATGCAGAGCAGGAGAGAGAAATAAAATTCCCATCAGCTAGGGTTTCAGATAGGACTTTATATAGCCAGGAATGGATAAGTGGGCTATATGGACCTTGTTGGGCCAACAACAAATTCAAAACGGGCCGAAATTTAGAGGCCGGCATAGCAGTTTACCGGGCCTGGCCGGTAGAAACGAATTTCGCCGAAATTCGTAAATTTCATGCCGAAATTCTGAACCATGAGATACATTCATCTTGCTATGCACCTAGATATACGCCATGTCTAGAAAAGCCAAAACGACCTACAATTTATAACGGATTAAGTAGTAGATAGATAAAAGATCCTCTCGGTTGGAACCACCAACTGTATATACGGCGTGTTCGCTGGTTGGTTTCTGGGCTGGTTTGGGCTGACTGGTGCTGGTTTGTTATGAGAGGAAAACACTGTGGCTGGTTGAATAAGCCTGGCTAAAACCAACAAGCGAACAAGGTGATAGAATGCTCCCTCGAGCTTCTTTTTTCATTCACATATAGTATAGTACAGTGTTCTTTTTTCTTTCAAGTGGATAGAGGACTGTCATCAGTCGATACAATATGGTTGGCGTGGTAGCTGTAAATCTTGTCGTGAGTGGGAGATGGTAGCCGCAACCATGTGTGGGCACGTGCATGCATGATGCATCGTCAAGACCAAACTATATATAGCATAAACTTAACGTTGTCATAAACCAATTGCCCGACGTTAGATGACAGTTTGCTGCCACAGGAACTGAAGCTCTATATACATAATAGGAGCTTCGCTGCGTTTCTTCAGCCCTGGTGTAAGTAGTCTTCCGATCCTTTCTCTTCTCTCTTCTTTGGTAATATGTGCCTGAATCTAGCATAGGGCAACTACAACTACTATGCTGCAGCCACACAGCATGATGATAATCCGATAATTCAGAAAGCAGCAGCAGCAGCAGCAACACAGGAGGGGTTCGATGAGGACAAAATGGAACTGGAGAAGCATATGCAGAGGAAGGTGGGCAAAGTTAGGATTGACACGATGATGAGAACGATGCCTAGGTACCCTTCACCTCCAATCATTCCAGATCCCGGCAAATGGTATAAGGAGCCGTGCATAGTGGCCACCTGGAGCAGGCAGAGGAGATGAAGCATGTGGCTGCCTACCACTGCATCGAGGAATCCGGGCGCCCGGTCGAGGATCTGTACGGCGCCGTCATCTCTGCCGTGGGCACAACCTATGGCCGCCACCTCTACCGCTATAGGGACGCAGGTCTCAGCGACGACGACTTCCTACCCATGATGTTCTTTGACGCCTGCTTCCTGGTGCATTGCATGGTTTGGTATACAGATAGGTCCGGGAAGATGGATGTTTCGTTGAGCAAATTCTTTGAGCACAACTACCAGCCTGTTCGCTTGGTCGTATTTGGCTTATGGCTTATCAGCCAACGAACAGTATTTTTATCTCACACCAAACCAGCCAACGGTATTTTCAGCCATGGCTTATAAGCCAAACAATGGCATCCGTCATGACATGATGCTGCTTGACAACCAGCTCCCCTATGGTGTGGTCGAGGCCATTCTAAACTTGAGGGTCGTGCCCTTCGACTTGAAGAAATTCACTGCTCTCTGGAAAGACCCTGCAGGACCGCAACCTTGTTATGGAAGAAGTGCCTGCAGTTGAGTTGGTTCAAGACGACGAATCACGGCAGCATCTCCTCGGCCTCCTCCGGTTCTACATTTTAGGAACAAGTAGTAGTGACATGCTACGAACTCAGACGGATCTCAGTATTCAGGGTAGCGATAACAGAGTTTAGGCAAGTAGCAAGATTGGAGCAGAGGAAGACAGCAGAGCACGAGGACGGGGTCAGAGGAAGTTTGCAGGCGGAAGCAAGAGTTTACAATAATCTTTCATGCCCTCTCCTTTCGCAACCACCGTATGTATAATGATGAGCTTCACGCCTTGGCCCATTCGTTGCCCGAGACGCGCGGTTAGCAAGCACTGGGCCGGCTGGACCTTCATGGTGTGGCCCATTCTTCTCCTGCTGGCTCCAGTCCATCCTCAACATGCGGCTCCAGCCCATCTTCAGCATCCGGTGCCGGACTCGCCACGATCGCATGATCCAAACGTAACATCCCCCCACCCTTGCGCGCCGAGCTGGTCCCTGCACAATGGCGCTGGAAAATCATTGGCGAAGAAACTCCAAGTCCTCCTAAGTAGCTAGAGACCTTGGCAAGTTAGACCACAGAATGAAACCTTGTGTGATAGAGCGCGTACCCTTGATGATGGATCGAGTTTGAAGAATCCGCTCTGGAACACTCCAAAGGATCACTTTAGAAGGTGGATGACTGGTAACAGAATGAGAAGTTCCCACTGACTTCTTGAGCTGCGAAACGTGGAACACCGGATGCGCCGAAGAAGAAGCCGGAAGCTCAAGTCTGTAAGCCACCGCCCCATAAGCGAATATGGTACAACCCGAAGAATTTGAAGGCCGATTTCGATTGCTGCGATGTGCTAAGGAAGATTGCATATATGGTTGGAGTTTGACGAACACGGATCACCAATCTGGCCCGACGTTCGGACCAATGCTCATCAGCTTGCTTCTTCATACGCTGCTTAGCACGGTTTAGATGCTGGCGAATCACCTCAGACATCAGAGCTCGGTCAGACAACCAAGTAGCCAAATCTGTAATGTTCGTGTCTGAAGAAGTGGCAACACCAAAATGGCGCGGTGCATAACCATACAATACCTCAAAAGGAGAATGCCCCAAAGCTGAATGCCAATTGGTGTTATACCAAAACTTGGCTTGATCCAACCACTGTCGCCACTGATGCGGACAAGCATGCACAAAGCAACGTAGGAATGTCTCAAGACATTGATTGACTCGTTCCGTTTGACCATCCGTTTGCGGATGATAAGCAGTACTCATCCGCAGCTCAATTCCAGCCAACTGAAACAGCTCACGCCAGAAATGACTCGTAAAGACTTTGTCTCGATCTAAGACAATGGCTTGTGGCATATCGTGCAGCTTATACACTTGAGATAGAAAAGACTGAGCCACTGATCGAGCAGTAAAAGGATGCTTGAGAGGCAGGAAATGGGCATACATGGAAAAAAGATCCACTACCACCAGGATGCAGTTATAACCGTGCGAAGATGGTAATCCTTCAATAAAATCCATGGATATCATAGACCAGGCGCTGTCAGGAACCGGCAACGGTTGCAGCAAGCCAGGCAGCTTGGAACGGTCAGGTTTAGCCTGCTGGCAGACAACACAAGAAGCGACGAAAGACTGAACAGCTGACTTCATGCCGTGCCAGGCAAAGAGTTGCTTCAAGCGGCGATAGGTGACTGACATGCCGGAGCGTCCACCAACAGCCGTAGAGTGCACCGCTGTAATCAACCGAGTGTGGAACTCAGGATCAACACCCACCTAGATTCTGCACTTGTAGCGCAGTAGACCATCTCGAAGAGTAAAGTCGGTTACTGAATCCGAGGCCACGACCAACTTGGCAAGCAATTGTTGGGCACACTCATCGTGAGAGTACGACTCTGCCACTGCCTCCAGCCACTGAGCCTGACAAACTGACAGTGCGGCCAATTGTGCAGAAGGATAACGGGAGAGTGCATCAGCCGCGCCATTGTCCGCGCCCTTATGGTAGACAATCCGATATAGCAGGCCAATGAGC